ACTGTACTTACGTCGACACAGGTAATAGTAAGGTTGCCGTTTTCCATCGCAGGATACGTCCTCCCTTTACCATTTTATACGAAAGCACCGCAGTCTTTACATGTATTTGCCATTGCGCGGTTCCGTGGACACAGTGAGGTGCTGTCACCTCCGCGTTAAGGACGTGGAAGCTGTGGAAAGGAGCTGGATGGAGACATGCCTTTGCCCCCTGCAGGCTAGAAGCTCGCAGGGTGCCAGCGCTTCGGGGCATAGCTCTGGGCTGGGGGCCGCCGTGAGCCTGCCCCGGCTGGCAGGCTGGCTGTGGGAGGACTGGTGGCGTACACTGCCTTTGAGCCGCTTCGCACAGCAGTCGTTCCAAGTAGCATATACCTATGCGGGGAGACGGCTTCACCTGCCCAAAGCCACAGAAGTCGTCTGTGACAGAGCAGGTACTGCCACTCGTCTCTCTCTGGTATTGTGCTTACCCTGGTTTTCACTTCTCAGGATGCCTCTTATTCCTTTTCTGTACAGGAACAAGCTATATGGCACACATATTTCTTCCGATATAATAATGCCCACACCGCGCAGCTGTCCTTCAATTACGGTGGTAGATCTAAAGCAGGGTAAGTTCTGTGTGTTCAGCCAGGTCTTGACAGATCACAGGTTTTCGTTTGTTTTTTTTTTAATTACTTTGCGCTGTGTGTATGCAAAATGTAAGAGACAACATGTGTTGACGAAGCAGAAAAAGAATGTCATTTCCTTTCTGGAACCCTTGGGGCTATACATTCAGGGCACTTGAATTATTTCTGCAACAGCTTTTAAGAACAATTTGGATAAAAACCTACGGTGCCTGAAAGTGAGATGAAGAGTTTTGTTTAGTGATGGGCAGGGATGGCTGTGCATTATTCCTCTCCTGAGGAATCGGCTTGGCTGTTCCAGCCCTGCGGCTCCAGCATGGCTCTGCCAACGCGTATGTGGTCACTGACACCTTGTGTTGATCCTGTCCTCTCCCCGTCCTGCACTGGCTGCCAGTGGGGCCATGTGCTGTGAAGTAGGTTGTGTAAGGTTGAGAGATGTCCCTGGGGCCCTGCAATGAGCCACACAGCAAACTCATGTTGATCTGTCATCTGCTCACCATTTCAACCCAGGTGAGAGACGATTTCCCTCACGGAAAGGCCACATTAACCCGCTGCGCTGCTCCGCTCCCTCTCGTGTGCTACACAGGTCTCACCGCTTAGCCCTGCACTCTATTCCCAGCAACGCGGGTTCAAAGCGCTTCAAATAATGGGACACGTCCCGTCACTCTTGGAGGACTGTGGCTTGCCCAGTTGTTGCTGAGTTGCCTCAGCTCCCCGCCCGTGTTCAAATACAGAGCAGCCATTTTGTCTTCAGAGCCCCTAAAACTGTGTTCCCCTAAAGGAAAAACCCCGCTGGTATTCTTCTCACTGGGACTCTCGTCCTTCCTCTCCTTATGTTTTTTGTCAAACTGCAATATGGAGTCACACCGGCTACAAGTCCGCGTTGGCTCTGTCTCTCTGGGAAATGCTACTAACAACAGACTCGCGTATCTGCAAAATCAGTGTGATAAAGAGTTTGGGGGTGGCAGCCTGAACTGTGCTTTTCTGCCACGGGGATGAACTGAGGCTTTGTCTCTGGTTCAAGCGCTGCCAGCTAAGCATCACGCCCAATCCTCTATTTGCTTAATAAAGGGCAAGGAAACTGACACGAGAGAAAATCCTGCAGAAATTCAAGATGACTTCAAAGTTGCTCACTGGAACGGCCGTGAGGTGCATTGTCAAAGTTATTAGGCAAAAAAATTAATCCTAGCTGTTTTTATTTACAGCCGGCTTAGCCGGAGGGCCGGGGCGAGCGGCTTAGCAGGGTGGCTAAGGCATGGCAGGCTGGGGAGCCGGGAGGCCTTCCCCCCAGCTCAAAGCAGCAGCTCAAACCCACGGCAAAAGGCACCGATCTCTCCGTTAGCAGACAGCAGAGCAGGACTGAAATAAGCCCCTGTGCTTACACTCCAGCTCCCCATACACTGTGGGCTCAGCAGGCAGCTTGCAGCATAGAACGCTGTCGGGGCGTTACGCTCAGCCCCCATCCACTCGTCCCCGCTCTCAGTGTTATCAGGAAGACAAGCTTAAAGTTCTCCGGAGCCTATGCTCAGCGTTAGGAGGAATGCATGCGCTATCA